AAATACTGACAGAAATTCCTCTTTTGGAGGAATATCTTTTTCTGTCATTCATTTCATCTCCTAGACCAGTGTTAACCTAGCTACTTGTTGAGCATAAATATGTAACTTGCAAAAAATCTATAAAAAACTTTTTGTATGTTTTCCTTTAGCTTAGGTGCAGCATTTTACAATACGAGTGTGAATGTGTGAATGCGAAGTTTCAAGTGTTTCTTCCTTATACAGCACTGTTTCTGCTATGGGACTACACTTTGAAGCAATGAGTAAATTGCAGTTCAGGGGTTTTCATAAAAATGGTGCTTACTCGCCACGGTGTAATGAAACAACAGGAACGTAGAATAGCCAGACTATGCCTGCGGACTTCTTTTAGACAGACCGCTGAATTTCACTTGATTGCCTTTAACCAAGGGAGAATAGGCAAGCTGGGTCTTTCAGGGCAAGAAGGCCGCGAATTTCACCGCTGTGCTCCATTCCACATTGTAGTCCATTTATCTTTGTCCAGAACCTCTAGATGTATTGAATTACCTCCCAAAATGAAGGGTAATAGCACTCTGTGCTTTGCTGTTGCTATGTAGCAGAGATGGTCTATAAAAAGCCACACTATTTAGAATTTTGTGCTTTTTGAAGTCTCACCAATCATGTGCCGCAAAGTTTCAAACGTCCTTTGAATAAATCTCCATCCATTCCATTCCAAAAAAAATAATTTGGTAGATTTCGGATAGAAGATTAGCCTCATTATTTGCGCACTTTAAACTTATCCAAAGTCCAAAGATAGCACAGTGATCCCTTGTCCAGTAGCTTCATTGTCTGTTTTCCCTGCAGACCTCTCGCCCTTCCTCTCTCTCCCTTTCATCTCGGTATCTAGTCAGATCACTCGCTCACACACACCTGCTCCATCATTATTTCATCCTGTCTCAATCTTTCCCCCCGTTCTTTCCTATTATAAAGCCCATCACACAGTGCGCAGGCTTTCCCAGTGTGAATGAGATCCTGAAGTCATATTGATTTCCCTGGATGTCTATAATAGAGGATGTGCCACGTGTGACACCGGCCTTGTTTTAGCGCACTGTAGCCCTTACTTTCTTTTTAACTCTCATTGTACAGTGCTGTATAACTGAAAACAGAGAGGTGGACTAAATATGAATTGTGCCTGCTGATGGTATTGTTTATTTGCACATGCTTGCATTGTTTTAGCACCTAAAAGAATTATGAAACTGTTAAAAATGCAATTGTTCCGGCAAAATTAGCACTGAATGTGATTTGCTGTTCTCTGCTAGGTTGTCAGGGATCTAGCATATTATGATGGGATGGTATTGTTACACCACTGAGATTTATATTTATATTTTACTTTCAATAATATCATGTTACTGTCTACGTACTTCCCAATATAATATTTTTAAAGGAATAGTTAGCATAACATTTTTTTTGTCCATACACTACACAAAATAAATGTATGCATAATGAATAAATAAATAGAAAAAAAACCCTGAATATCACAAAATAATTTGTAAACAAGCAGCTTCTACAATAATTAAATTTTTAATTTTTAATTGTATTGATTAAATGGGCAAATAAGTACATTTACACAGAAATTAAATTTTTGTGCTGAAATAAATTGTGAAATAAATCATATATAAATATGACCTTTTAATGGCGTGACACAATTGAAGTTATTATTATGTAAAACCTCTCCTCCACAAAAGCTTAAGGGCCCAGCTTTTTAGCCAGCTCTTGGTTTTAAGCAGCTGGGGCCATGTCGAAGTGGAAGGCACCCTGTGGAGAAGCCCACGGTTTTGGAAGGTACACCACTGCCTTCGGTTCTGGAGTGGGGCTCTGTGATTGGCACCCACCGGGCTTCAGCTGTTGTCAGAAGGCAGAGATGCCCACTGAAATGCCTTGATCTTCCAAACAACACATTCTTCTGCTATATCAGAGAGCAACAGGATGAGAAGACGAGAACAGTGTGCGCAACAGATAAAGACAGCGCTCTAGGTATAGCCACAGAAAGTCTGAATAAGAAAGGTTTAAATTATGAATTATTATTATTATTATTATATACTGTTAAAAAAAAAAAAAAAAATCCATAACTTTTTTTTTCACAGATTCAAAGTAAAAAATTAAATGTTAAAGTATATTAAAATAGAAAATTATTTTAAAGTTATTTTAAACTAGAATAATACTTCACAATATTACTGTAATATAATATAATAATATAATATTTTGAAATATTATTCCAATTTAAAATTATATATATATATATATATATATATATATACATACATACACACACACACAAATGTAGACAAATACGTACATTTTTTAATATAAAATAACTTTAAAAATCTGGTAACACTTTACAATAAGGTTCATTAGTTAACTACATTAGTTAACATGAACTAATAATGAACTGCACTTATACAGAGTTTATTAATCTTTGTTAATGTTAATTTCAACATTTACTAACACATTATTAAAATCTTGTTAACATTAGTTAATGCACTGTGAACTAACATGAACTAACAATGAACATCTGTATTTTTATTAACTAACGTTAGTGAAGATTAGTAAATACAGTAACAAATGTATTGCTCATGGTTAGCTCATGTTAGTTTATACATTAACTAATATTTAACTAATGAACCTTATTGTAAAGTGTTACCAAAAATCTGTTATTTATAATTTTTATGATTATATAGCGCAAGTCCATGTAGCACATCTCCTACTTGCCTGCTCATACTGTGGTTGATTTCAGTATGCCAATGAATGTTTTCAGCCTTAGTTAATGCAGAGTTAGACACCGAGTCTGATATCAAATTAACTGCTCAAGTCAGGCATTTTATGAGACATTATTCATTTCAATGTTCTGCCTCTTGTTCAGTGTGACAAGATGGTGGAATTAAAAGGGAAAAAGAAAGAGCCAGAAAGAGCCAGAAAGAAAAAGTCCTCACTCTGACTGATCCCATAGCCCCAATTAGATGAACAGAGTTGATAACACAGTAATGGAGACCCGCAGATTCAAGTCTAGCCATTTCAGGTCCTCCCATTAAACCTTCCAATATAGTTAACATTGATTCCGGCTTGGCGCTGGGGAGAGTATGGACTTCATAAAGGAAGACAATAGCTACTGAATTGGGCTCAGCTTTGACATAATTGCTTCATAATTGTGTAGCAGTGATTTGCATTCACTTTCTGGCCCTTCCCATCAGCCAATTAGATCTGCTTGTTGATTTATGTGTGTGCTGATGGGAGCTGATGGCTTTTGTCATGGTTCATATTGATGAGCGCTAAATACCTCATAGCTTTTTGATCTTTATGAGGGTGCAGGAGGAGAACAGGTTAATAGAACTACAGGAACCGGATTGAATGTCGATTCAGAATCAAGGGGTCTTGTGGTGATTAGGTTGATTGTGCTATTCTTTCACAAATGTTTGTTCAGTTGTAAAAAACATTCTTGATTATGAATGCATTCTATACATAAACAGAATGTTTGGACAGGACTAGTTTTCACTTACAAGGAAATCAATTTCTACTTAAATGTCTTAGAAAAGTCTATCTATCTAGCTAGCTATCAGGATATATTGGGAGCCAATTTTGGTAATTATGAATAAATAATCAGATACAAATTATATGTACATACACTGGCCCACGCTTAAAATTGTATCTTTGCACATTCTTTTCTTCTCTAGAGCTATTTTACCTCATTAATTTATTGTACAGGTTCATTTATTTGTCTTCCTTCCTTCCTTCCTTCTTTTCAATGTTGGTGTATTAAATTAATCTGTTTATTTGCCATTTGATAAAATTTTTTAGTTTGTAAAAACAAATGACAAGAGTAAAACCATGCAATAAATTACAAGATTTTCAAACTTAATTTCAGTGCTAGGTTGCTCTTCATAAAGTGCAGTGTGAGTGCTCTTGTCTGGGTACTTGTCTTTCTGTATGCGCATGAGAGAAAGAAAAAGGTTGCATGTGTCTGTGTGTGTGTGCAGTCATGCTGTGCACACACTCGTGTGTGTTTCTGCGAACACGCAGGTCGTATAACTTGGTGTAACCGAAACAGTGAAACAGTGAAGTGGAACCGCTCGCTCTGACTAGCGATGTCACGAGAGAGCCCCACTATGCGCTTCAGCATGTGTAATTAATCATTAGAGGTGTACTGCTTAACCGCTGCCTAATACCGCTGTCTCTCTCCCCGTGCAGATACTCACTTCTCCCTTAATTACTTATAATTGCCTTTTACTCATTTACTCTAAGATGCTAATATTCCTATTTGAGGGTGTCTGCACATATCCTCCCTTTTTTTCTTTTTTTTTCATTTCTCTTTTTGGTGCCTGCTGGATTTATGCCGTACAGTGCGAGAGCTCTTGTAAAGGCTGATCAGAGGTTAACGTCACTGATAGAGGCCATTAACTTCAGGAGATAGATATGACTTATCCTCGTGTCACTGTCTGGTCACTGTGACTTTGAGAGGCTCTGGCTCCATTTGTGGCCCACTTTTGTGGCTGAGCACATTCAGATGAGACGGAGGGAAAATGAAATAGATGAACAGCGTCGCTTGAACTGTGATATCGCCCTCTCTCCGGATACCGTCGAGCTGCTGTTCATTCCGGAGGCCACGTCTGAGAGAGGAGGCGAACTGACATGTCAAGAATTGACTAGGATTACAGTTCATCTACCAAGAATGGTATCCTTATTTTAGATGCAGTACAATATAAAACTCGGATGTGCTGGGAGAATCGTAACAGGGCTTCTTAGAAGTAGACTTTTGCTCTTTCGTATTTTATGCCCTGAAGCCTCATTCAAAGTGCATCGTCTTCTCTTGCTCAGCTCGCCGAGTTCGATCGATTACAGTTCCGTTCAGCTGTGCGGTTTAATGAAAAATGGCAATACAAGTGGTGTCGGTGTACAGATAAAACCTTAAGGATATAGTTGGCACCAAACCGAGTAGCATCCTGCCCATATGTCTCCATTATAACTCATTGTTTTTCAACTGTTTTTGGCAGGCACTACAGTGATGACCATGACGGCTTACGACGCAGACGATCCCAACACCGACAACGCTGTACTGCGCTACATCATCGTGAGACAGCTGCCCGATAAACCTTCACCCAATATGTTCTACATCGACCCGGAAAGAGGCGACATTGTCACCGTGATAGCACCCCACCAGCTCGATAGAGAGGTATGTGCTTTCTTTGAGTGCCTCTTTTTTTATTGCTGAATGGATGTAAGTTATATGAAGTAATGGCAGACTGCTGAACAATATGCTGTTTGTTATATTGTATGATGTTTTTAATTACTGGTGTACTGCAAATTTCTGGGCCCCGCCCACAGCTGGTGATGTCATGGACAAACTTTGTATCGGTTGAAATAAGGCAATTTATCCCTCTCTTAAATTTCTTTATTTTCTGTAACTCTTTATAACAAGGTTTAAACAATGGAGGTTAATGCATTGGTTATCATACAGTTTCTACATTTAAAATCTAATTATTTTTAATATTTCAAGTATAAATGAACAGTCTTTAATTTTTTATTAGCAACAAATCAGTATATTAGAGTGATATCTGAAGAAGGATCTGGCTAAATATTCAGCTTTACTATCATAGAAATAAATATACTTTAAATATATAATAAAATAGAAAACAGTTATTTGAAATTGTAATAATATTTCATAATATTATTATCATAATATTAATATTACATTTTTTGCAATATTATTACACTGAACAAATGAAAGCTAAATTAGTGAGTATAAAATATTTCTATAAAAAAATGGCATGATTTTGGTAGTATAAATATAGTATATAAAAATGTAATTAAATAATATAAACAATTAATTGTTTATAATTGTTTGAATGGTATAAAAGTTGTGAGTTTGTGAGATAATGCATTAACTAATGTTAACAAATTTAATCTTATTGTAAAATCTTTTCCTTCTCTCTTTGTATTTCCTGTTCTGTTGTGAAATACTTTCTATTGATATTTCAAGATTTCTGGCATTTAGAAGTGTATATTTGATGGGCAACCGCAAGTTTACAGAATGTTAGTGATGTTAGCACTGGATTTAAACCTCTAAGCAAACATTTGGGTCCCACTTTATATTAAGTGGCCCTAATACCTGTGTACTTACATAGTAACTAGATGTGTACATAGTATGTAACCACAGTGTAAGTGCACATTGGTACATAGTATCTAGGGCTGTAATATTTCTGTAACTACAGACATGTATCAACCCTCCGAATGGTTTGTGTAAGTACAAATGTGTAACAGGACATATATAACTACATTTTGTAACAACAATATGTATAAGAGTAATTGGAACAATTTGATCCAGGGGGTGAAAATGGGTAGGTTTAGGGATATGTAAAGTGGGAGGAGATGGATCTCAAGTTGGTGGAGTTGGTGCACCACTGTAATACCAGTGTACTTACATGGTAACTCCTCAGGAACTGTCCACTTAATATAAAGAGTAACATTCTGGACACCAACCACAATTTATATGTAAAGCCTAACCTATTGGCCGCTGCTGTGTAACATCAGAGTAATTTCATGGTAAATCCATAGGAATTATTTACTTAATATAAAGTGCAACACTTTCTTTACCAAAAAGTGCTGTTAGTCCTGTTACACATTTGTACTTTCATTACCAAAAAGTGTTGTTACCAATGTCCTGTTACACATTTGTATTTACACACGCCATTCAGTGGGTTGTTATATATGTGTAGTTACACAAAAATTACAGCTGTAGATACTATGTACCAATGTGTACTTACACTGTAGTTACATACTATGTACACATCTAGTTAATATGTAAGTACACAGGTATTAGGGCCACTTAATATAAAGTGGGACCAACATTTGTAGCTTAAACTATACATGAGAGGAAAGCTATTCCACCATTCAGAAATATCTTACACTGCTGCTTGAGTTTGTCAATCAGCCCAGGTCTTATTTAGTGTCTGCAAATCAATTTTCCATATAATACGAATGGCGAATTTACAAAATGTACCACAGATATTTCAAAAATACCCATTTTAAAGACTGTCAGATCTCGTAACACAGCTGGCTGTTTTCTTAAAGGGGTCATATGATGTGATTTCAATTTTTCTTTTCTCTTTGGAGTGTTACAAGCTCTTGGTACATAAAGAAGATCTGTAAAGTTGCAAAGACTAAAGTCTCAAATCCAAAGAGATATTCTTTATAAAAGTTCAGAGTCAGCCACACCTACCTAAAACGGCTCATTCTAACATGCCCCCACATATCTACCTCACTACGTGGGAATATTTGCATAACGCCACCCAAATGTTCACGCAAAGGATGAAGGCGTGACTTTTATTCTCACTGTAGTATTGTTGACGCTGCAGCCATATCGTGAAGACGCTGTGTGGTTCGCTGTGAAAGCGAAACTACTTTGTTTGGTCTTCCAAAAGAGGACGATATCCGCTTCGTCATGCCTAAAGCTGATCTGTGCTGGTCGCTGAGGGAATACATAAACTTTCACAGTGGACCAGCGGAGTCCAGCCCGGGGTCGTCACATGTGGTTGCCGCTCATTCGTCGGATCCGCGGGGTGCGCCGTTCTCGATCTCACTCTAGAAAATGCCTCGTTTGTAATGGGTTTGAAAGTTTTTGACTCATCGCTCTGGCCGGGACACGGCATCAACAGTATGTGAGGGGCGTAACATTTCCGTCTCACGCTTGAGGTATTCGGCCAATCACAACGCATTGGATAGCTGGCCAATCACAGCACACCTCGCTTTTTCAGACCGATGAGCTTTGTAAAAATCGACACGTTTCAAAAAGGCGGGGCATAGAGGAGAAACAATAATGTACAGTATGTGGAAAATAATGTGTTTTTTTTTTACTTTAAACCGCATAAACACATTTCATTACACCAAATACACAAAATGATGTTCATTTTAGCAGCATCATATGACCCCTTTAAAGCTTTATGGGTTGAACCTCTAACAGGAGAGCCGACAGAACGGAGGCTTTCTGTTCAAACAGAGCTCTGCAAACAAGCAAGCAAACATGAGGGGGCAAATCTGTGGGGACGAACAATAACTGCGGTGTGTTTTAATGTTTAACTATCCTCAAAACACCTTTAGAGCAAGTATATTAGAGCAGATTCCTCTGCATATTAAAGCAGGGGTTTTAACGTTGTTAAGAGACTGGAGTTTGGATCAATGCAGGAAAGATGCTACGGTATCTTGAGGACAGGGGGTGTTAGCGATGCATGCTAATGAGCAACTGGAGGCAGCGCTTCCCAGCTCCTAAGCAGAGCGAGACAACAGCATGATTGCTTTTTCTGCGGGGTGACGAATGAAGGAACATCAATTCGGCCCGCTGCTGGAAGAGGAATATTAGCTGTTGTCAGACACTTAGAGCATGCTTTAATTGAGGTTATACACACTTATCCACCAACATCGGCTGTGTCCGACAAGGCCAGTAGAAAACCCCTCAGCTGGAACAGAGCAAAGCCATCATTAAATGCATGTTTGTATGCGTTCCAGAGCGCGTTTGATAGTCGGGTTGACGTTGTAATTGAAATGTTACATGAAAGGTGTCTGAATGTAGCCGTTTATTCTGATTTCTTCATAGTGAAACGCTGGATGTTGACAAACTGCTCTAACTTTCACTGTCACCGCTGCGACTGTTGATCTCATATGTGTGACAGATGTTTTACACAATGAGCTCCAGGGGATTTCAGGTGTGTTAAGGAGACAGGTGTGCTCTGTTTCTTTGCCAGAAATTTACTTTTTAGCTCTTGGTATTTTTAAAGTTCACAAACACTTTTACAAGATTTGCCCACAACGGTGCCGAGAATCGGGTTGTGAAATCTATTTTGTTTGACTGGCTTAAAACAATCAGGAATTAGATAAATATTAAGTTTTTTTTCTTTTCTTTTTTTACTTACACGTTTACTTGCTTACTGTTTATTGTAACTTATTTTTAGGTAGCCTGTTTTGTTTTCTAGTTCTCCAGTTATGTTCTGAATGTGATCATGTGGCTTATCTTTTTCCCCCCTTTTAAAACTCACTCTTGAATGCATGCAAGTATCAAAAGAATTACTGATCAATGACCAATGATCAACTGACAATTTTTTTTATTTTATTTTATTATTTTATTAAAACCTCAATCTAGACCATATCCATGATTTAAGTGATATACACACACACAGTTGAGGTCAAAAGTTTACATCCCCCTTTCAGAATCTGCAAAATGTTAATTATTTTACCAAATTAAGAGGGATCATACAAAATGCATATTATTGTTTATTCAGTACTGACCTGAATAAGATATTTCACATAAAAGATGTTTGCATATTAGTCCACAAGAGAAAATAATAGTTGAATTTATAAAAATGTCCCCGTTCAAAAGTTTACATCCACTTGATTCTTAATACTGTGTTGTTACCTGAATGATCCACAGCCGTGTTTTTTTGTTTAGTGATAGTTGTTCATGCATCCCTTGTTTGTCCTGAACAGTTAAACTGCCTGGTGTTCTTCAGAAAATTATATGGTTTTCCAGCATTTTTGTGTATTTGAACCCTTTCCAATAATGATTGTATGATCCATCTTTTCACACCGAGGACAGCTGAGGGACTCATATGCAACTATTACAGAAGGTTCAAATGCTCACTGATACTCCAGAAGGAAAAAAACATGCATTAAGAGCCAGGGGGTGAAAACTTTTAACAGAATGGAGATGTGTGCACTTTTCTTATTTTGCATAAATATCTTATTTTTGTCATTTAGCACTGCCCTTCAGAGGCTACAGAAGATAGTTACATGTTTCCCAGAAGACAAAATTAGTTAAATTTAGCCTGATCTTCAAATTCAAAAAGTTTTTAAATATTCTGTTCTGTTTTGAATGTGATAAAAATGTCAGGTGCTTTCCAGAATATATGCTACACTTCTAAATCTTCCTATATTTGTCTGTACATGAAAAAAGAGCTCTTTGAAATTGCTCAGCATGTCAGTTTTATTCCTGGCAAAGTCATTTGAATGCACATCGCATTGTAATTAAGACGTCCGAGTTTGTGTGTAGAAGCTTCCCAGAAAGAATTGTGAAGGCAGGACACATCTGATGTTCCACAAGAATCGGACAGGTTGATCTAATTAATTGAATGCATACTCACATAAAACTATTTCAGCAATGACGGCTAGTTCATCTAATGACTT